CCCCGCCCCGCCCGCGGTCTCTGGCCGCCGAGCCTCGAGGTGCGAGCTAGGTCGCCTCCGTCCGGCGACCCTCCTGCTCAATCCCACTCCACGATGCGCGCCGCTTAGATCCCCATGCTCCTGTGGCGCCGCAAATGCGTCGCCGAGTGCTGCAGGCACGCCGGGGCCCCGCCCGCGGCGCAACCGTCCCCACCCCCTCGCCGCTGCCGCCGCCGCCTCTCCGTGCTCGCCGCCTGGGCGCACCAGCCGGACGACGACTCCACCTCCAGCGGCGAGGAGAGGCCCAGCTGCGCTCCTCCCCGTGAGGTTATCTGGAGAAGGGGCTGCGCTCCCGGCGAGAATCCCCGGAGGAGGAGCTCTGCTCCGAGCCTGAGCTCTGCCGGGGTCGTCAGGACGCTCCAGCGCCTGGAGAGGAAGCCTGCCATCGCGTTCGCCTACTTCAAGGACACCGAGAGCATCGGCTTTCACCATGACCTTGCCACCTACGCCGAGATCATCCGCGTCCTGTCACATAAGGGCCAGGGGAGGATTCTGTTCTCCTTGTTCAGTGACATCCTCTCGCCGGCCGATGGCGGCGGCGGCGGCCCTGAGATCGTGCCGCTCATGGATCAGCTCAGAAGCACGTGCACTACTTCGTATGCTCTCTTGTTTGCGACAGACTGCTTGATCAAAACATGCACCACTTGTTGCAGTGCACAGGACACAATAGGGCTGTTTGGTGACCTCTGCAGGCTTGGAATCGTCCCGGCAGCTTGGACTTGCAACATACTTCTCAAATTTGCAGCCGAGGGCGGTGACTCGGAGGTTGTTGTATCGGCTTATGATCAAATCAAGGAATTTGGATTGACTTTGGATGCTCACGCGTTAGTCCTCATCACTAGGTCTCTCTTTCGAGAAAAGAAGGCAGACAAAGCATTCCAAATGTGGGTTGAGATGATTGAAATGGGGGTGAAACCAGATGTAATTGCATACTCATCATTTATAACTGGTCTGTGTGATTGCGGAAAGGTTGATTTGGCTTATGCGATTCTGCAAGAGATCAACAGAGAGGGGATTCAAGTTGAGGACATGGCTTATAACACAGTAATGGATGGGCTATGCAAGGAAATGAGACTGCAGGAGGCTGAAATGCTCTTGGAGAACAAGACCAGACAAGGGCTCACACCAGATATATATGGTTATAGCTATCTCATTCGGAGTTATGGCAAAGCGGGCAACCTACTCAAGGTGTTGGACCATTATCAAGCCATGGTATCCCATGGTTTCGAAACAAACTGCCACATTGCGAGTTATCTTCTACAATGCTTTATGAAGTTAGGCATGACATCTCAAGTTACAGAGCATTTCCAGAAACTCAGAGATTCGGGACTCCATCTAGATGGCGTTCTGTATAACATTGCTATGGATGCTTATTGCAAGGATGGGAACATGGATGAGGCGGTTAAGCTACTGAGAGAAATGAAGGCTGAGGGTCTGACACCTGACAGAGTTCACTATACTTGCGTGATCAAGGGTTATTGCTTGAAGGGAGATGTACCAAATGCACGTCAAGCATTTGAAGTGATGCTGAAGGCCAATGTAAAGCCAGACGTAGTTACATATAACATATTGGCCAGTGGATTTTGCAAGAATGGTCTTGTTACGGAGGTGTTTGACCTTCTAGACCATATGGCGGATCGAGGGTTAGAGCCTAATTCACTCACTTATGGTATAATAATTGATGGGTTTTGCAGAAGTGGCAACCTTAGTGAAGCAGAGGTGTTATTTTATATAGTAGAAGAGAAAGGAATCGAACGCATCGAAGTAATGTACAGTTCAATGGTTTGTGGCTATTTGCATTCAGGCTGGACAGATCATGCTTACATACTTTTTCTTAGGGTTGCTAAGCAAGGAAAATTTGTGGATCGTTTCGCATGTTCAAAGTTGATGAATGACCTTTGTAGGGATGGAAATGCCCAGGGAGCTTCAACAGTTTGCAGCATGATGTTAGAAAATAATGTTATTCCTGATGTAATTTCATATACTAAACTCATATCAGCCTATTGTCAGACAGGAGATATGCACAATGCTCTCTTGTGGTTTCATGATATGGTTCAGCGAGGACTTTCTGTTGATGTTATTGTCTACACTGTACTAATGAATGGTTACTGCAAGGTTGGCCAGATGGAAGAAGCTTGCAAATTGTTTGATCAGATGACAAGTTTAGGTATTAAGCCTGACGTAATTGCATATACCATGCTACTGGATGGTCACCTAAAAGAGTACCTGCAGCGGTGCTGGCAGGGCGTTAGTAAGGAGAGAAGGATCTATGTTCTTAGAACAAAGCAGAACAGGTTGCTCAGCTCTATGAAAAAAATGGAAATCAAACCTGATGTACCCTTTTACACCGTATTGATAGATGGGTACTGCAAAGCCGGTGATTTTGAGAAAGCCCGGGGAGAATTTGATGAAGTGTTGCAGAAAGGGCTGACTCCTGATCAACATGTATACGCAGCTCTGATATGTGGATATTGCAGCCAGGGCGAAATAGAGAAGGCACAAGATCTTTTTGAAGAAATGGTAGACAGGGGAATAAAACCACATGTACTGGCCTTTTCTGTATTAAATCAGAAAACCTTGAGGGAAAGGCAGTATAAGTGACATGTATGATTTCGCTGCAGTTATATCCACTGAAATCTCGTCAGCGAGGTAATATATTTTACAAGTCATGAATTTACTGGAAGCCTGGAAAATATGATTATGATATCCATTCATGTGCTTAGTGCTTAATGTTTTGAGGTGTAATGCTCTTACATGCAGTATGTTTATATACGCTTTGCAAACATCTTCTTTATACACGCTTTGTTGTGTGCCATCTTCTTTAACTCATTGCTATTAGCAGTGTAAAGTTGATTATGAATTAGCTTCAACTGATGCAATTATGCTCTTCCTGCCAGGTTTGGGATGCGACTGCATCAGAACCCAAGTTACTTGTCTATCTGAAGTCTTACAGGAACACAGTACCTGTCCCAAGGCACTGGTCTCAAAAGAGGAAATTCTTGCAGGTTTGTTATACATGTACCATGAATAATCTTGTTATGCATAATTTCGTAACGAGTACTTGGATGCACCTCTGAGAAATAAACTGCACAATCAGAAAATAGTGTTGTTAGTAGTGGAGTTGGTAGGCAGATGCAAACAGATCACCAGTTTCTTTGAACTCCACTTGTAAAAGTGTTGGAGCATCTCCCTCAATTAATATCTGTCATCTAACTAATACTGCATGCTTTCATGTATTGTTACAGAAGTTTGTTTTTCCCATGGGCCTGCATCTAAATGCGTCTCATTTTGTATTAAAAATAACTCACTTGTAAAATAGAGCACCATGATTACAACAACCAGATACAAGCCGACCAAAAACAGACAGAAAACCAAACAAGACCAAAAAAGCTATGCAGAGCAGGAAAGAGAAACAACACAAGGGCCAAGGGACAGACCATGCCAGGCCCAAATTCACTTAATGCCGAGCACACTTGGGTTTTGTCCTTGCATCATTGAAAAGTGTAAGCCCATAACCGCGACTGTTCGGTCCAGCATGCATAAGCTAGTGTAACTCATTACAAAGTGTTATGGCAGTGCCTGGGTGGGTGTTATTCGAAGGGGGGAGGGAACATAAAGTTGATAAGGTTTTTCCCCTCCCTCTTATACAGATATATAATTCTTGCAGGGATGCTGCAATTTCCTGGGAGCAAGGTCTTGGTGGTACTGTACTTGAGTGTTTGATCTAGTTGATTCATGCTAGGCATTCCCTTGAAAGACATTTAGGTCCGTCTAGGATCTTGATCCTCGGCCCTCCTTTGCTTGCTTATACAAGTATATCATTTGTCCAGGCCTTTGCAACTTTTTTATATCTTCAAAACATGAAATTATGCTTTGCTTCATATTATCTACATCTTGTCGAATAGATTTTACATCACCATGTTATTTCTTTCAGGGCAAGAAAGGTATCGAAAAACAACCATTCCAACTTCCTGACTTCATTGCTGCAAGTGGAATAGAAAAAATAAGACAGTATCTTAATATCTTGGTCCTTTGTAGCAATGCTATGGAGACATTGTTTCTCCCTTGTCAACTTGGTAACTTTGGGAGTTTTGTTTTATTGGCACTTTAATTTTTATTCCACAAATGGGCAAGACGGACAAATTGTAAGTAGCTTTCCAAATGCATTTTCAGGCATATATCGAGAAAGAGGATAGCAAAAAGTTGAAGCAGAAGCAGCGGGAGCGTATGCAGCCAAAAATGGGCAAGATGGATATGGATTATCAGGTCAGTTAATTCCTGTTGAGGCCAATCCGAGTTGCACATAGAAGCACATGCCATATAGATTTGTGTTTTCTCCATAATGGGCAAGATGGATATAGAGCACTATTTATTTTCCAGCTGATTTTACTTAGGTGATGAATAACACATGCCTGCGTTTTCTCCTTGTGATATACTTCTGTACATGCATATCTGGTTTGCCAGGTGTTCTGTTACCTGCCACTTAGGCACTAAAACTGCTGATGTACATGTGTGAAAATATCATAGCTGATAATTACGATGTGTTTCTTCTATATGTTCAAATTTTAGACATGAGTGAACTTCTGAATGTGCAGGAAAGCAAGCCTCACCGTAATTTTGTTTGTGTGCAGGTTTTACACAGAAACCAAAATTGACTAGTCATGGTGACCTTTACTACGAAGGAAATAATTTGAGGTACTTCTTTTGCTTCGCTCTCTTCTTAATGTCAGAAAGAGAGGTAACTGATAATTGTTTGGAAAATCCATATGTCTGTGTTCTCAAACCTGGCTCACCGAGCATAATACATGTATGAACTCAGCAGGTCAAACTTAGGGAAATGAAGCCAGGTATGCTGTCCCAAGAACTTAAAGAAGCACTTGGTATGCCAGAAGGTGCACCGCCCCCATGGCTTATAAACATGCAGGTATTGTTCTTTTTAAGAAGAAAAAAACTCCAGGCAGCTGGTCTTCTGGTTGACTGATCTCTTTTTATTGGCCAGCTATCAACTGACATCAAATAATTTTGGCCGAGATATGGTCCTGCTCCCTCTTATCCTTCACTGAAGATTCCTAGTCTGAATGCCCCAATTCCTCCTGGTGCTACTTTTGGTTACCGGCCTGGGGAATGGGGAAAGGGGAAAGGGGAAAGCCTCCTGTGGATGAGGTAATTTACAACAAATATGGTTTTCGTGGGCTCGGCTGTAGTTAAATGCGGCTTCTGTAATGATTTTTTTTCTGTTCTACTTATTTGTTTTGGCTAAAAGCATGGACCTCTACGGAGATGTTTTTGGTATCCTACAGCTGGATGAACCTACTTATGATGTATGTTTGATTGCCTAATTTTCCTTGAAATTGAACTGCAGCTCTACCAGTCAGCTGACTGTTGTGGTGCATTGTATTCCAGGAGGAATCTGTTGACCGCAGCAAGCATTGGGGAGACTTGGAGGAGGAAGAGGAAGAGGAGGAAGAGGAAGAGGAACTAATGGAAGATGAAGACATGGAAGCTGGCATGCAGTCTGTCTACACCATGTCAAGGTTCTGTAATAATTATTTGATGACTAGCTTAGGTTCTTCTCTAAGGAACTATGTTATGACGCCTCTTCTTGTTCTGTTAATAGCTTCAGTTTTGTGGCATTTCAGGCCAAGTATTGTTATGGAGCTTTAGTTTGGCTTATTGCAGTTCATAACCAACAATTTGTTCTTTTTCATCTGAAGGTTCTTGAGCAGAAGGAGGAGAAAATCTCACCTTGAACCCTCTATGGGTCAAGCCATACGTATGCAACTCTAATACAACCTAGTCATCTCTACAATATTTTTCCGATGGATTTCTGTTTCAACCATACGGAGAACTCATTATATATAATCTCTGATGGATTCCTGTTTCAATCATATGGAGAACTCATTTTGCATCTTGCTGTTTTTGCAGGTATGTGGTTGGGGCACAGGATAAAGCTGGGGTTAAAAGGGTGAGCTTTTACATTCCTTGCACCAAGTATACAAGTATTCCCATAGCGTGCATGCTCTGATGATTCATTGACACATCTTTGTGGTTCTCGTTTGCAGGTTGATCTTCTCAAGAATCAAAAGTCTGAAAAAGTGGATGTCACCATACATCCTGAGGAGCTCGAAGTTATGGACGATGTTCTGGCAGCCAAGTAAGAGCACTTCTCCATCGCGTCTGTCAAGCCTTGCCTGTCAATCCACGAGTTGAAACATTAACACCTTCCCTCTAAAACTATGAAACAGGTACGAAGAAGCCCGGGAGGAGGAGAAGCTACGGAACCAGAAGGAAGACTTCAGCGACATGGTGGCGGAGGTATGTACGTCTTTATGTTTCGTACGGGCGGTTTCATGTAGCTGTTGAACTAGAAGCAAACACCGACTCAATGGACCTGAACCCTTTTTCCCTCTCCGATTTGCAGAACGCGAGCAAGAGGAAGAGGAAGCGCAAGAAGGACGTGAAATCTTCCAAAAAAGGACTAAAAGTTCTACATGGAGCAGCAGCCACCATGTTGTGCAACTGAAGCCACCGGGGCTCAGGCCATGGTCATCGTGCCTTGTTTCCAAACTCAACGCCACCGCCTCCGTTTGCTCTGCCAAGATTAAATCACATCCACCACACAAGATGGTGCCAGGTGTGCTTTTGTTTCCCCATCTTGAAGGTAGAGTTTATCTGTGGCACTCATCATTTGGGCTTAGGGACCCTTTTAAGTGCCACACGTCAGGTATGGGCACATGGCAAGTTTAGTTACGTGAGGATGACAACTTTCGCGCTTCAGTTTATTTTTGACAGAAACTTGCCGCGTGTCACCGGAATTTGCTATCCTTGCGTGACTGGAATTGCCATCGAAAAACATCAGGGCCACGATGGTGACAACACTGACAGTGACCACGATGGTGACAAGGGAGCCTCTGGTCGGAGGTGAGTGCTGGAGCTACTCTCTCCCGATGCTGCTGACAAGTGTTGTTTGCCTGTGGTTTTGTTGTAGCTTGTCAGAAGCAGCAAGAGTGAGCTGCTCTATTTTTGTAATACTACCCTATGATGACATGGTTGGTTTCATGTTGTCTGTGTAAATTTGTAACCTGACTGCGCGCATAAAAAAGAAGTGAAAACCACAGAAATATACCACTTTTATTAGAGTACAATATTAGGCAGAAACAAGATAATACTTGATCTCCATAAGGGTCTGCACTGCCTAATGCTACCTTGAGATATTCAAATTCTCTCCACAAACTGGACCAGAACTCCAATTTCCTTCACATTTATTTGTTGCTAATAATGTGCCATGGGAAATTGGATGTAAGATACTTGATCTAGTATTCTCTCACACGATTTGTAGCAGTGGCTGATTTGATTTAGTAGCGATACAAATTGGACAAGGCGAATCGGGGAATTTCTGGCGAGAGGAAGAACAGGTTAGGGAGTAGGTGAGAGCCGGGTGCCTGTTTCCTTATCTACTGGATGGAGAGCTTGTTGTCTGCTTCGGGTTACTTACTTGTAGTTGTGATGGTTTCGGGCCAGGCCCATGTGTAGGTTCACTGACAGGCCCGAGTACTGGTTAGGTCCTAACAATGCTGCTTATCGGTTTCTCAAAAAAAAAA